TGGATGGGCCTTTGAAGCTCACCACACTCCTCCTCTTCCCGAGGCCCCTTCTACACTGCTATATGATCCAGTTTAAAGCAGAGAATGCAGATTATCTGCTTTGATAATCCGGATTCTAGGGCAGAGTAGAAAGGCTCACCTGAATTTCCATCAGGCTCGCGCCTCCACTGCCCTTGGGGCTTTTCGTTGCTGCCCATTGCCTTTATTGCGAAGTAGATGTTGCACCTCAGAGTAGATTCACCTTGCTGAAAACACCAAACTGCACACAATAGCCAGAAGTCTTTATAGTTTATTAAAACTAAAAGGTAGAAAGTTCTTGAAGGCAAAGGTTGATGTTCCACAAGATCAATATAACATAGTACTTGAAGCCTAATCCAAAAGGCACCAGCAAAGCAAAACCCAAGAGAACATGACAAAGTCCTGGAACCAGGAACACAAGGAGACAATCCAGACAAGCAAAGGCAAGCTTCTTAGTTGAACAAAAAGTTGCTTTGACGAAAGTTTGATCTCAAACCCATTGCTTAATACCCTTTGCAAAACATGAAGGTGTTTCCTTGGCCTCCCTCTTGTTAGCTATTCTCACACTCCTTCAAACTCTGAATTCCAAACGGTCAGCCCAATCTAAGGTTCCCGTTTCGTCAAGGTCAGTCTGTTCGTTAGTGTCAGCCTGTTTCCCTTCTTGCTCATTATCAGGCTGAGAACCGTCCTCCTTCTCTGAGTCAATCTGCACCTGCACCTGGCTGTTTTCAGAATCCACACTCTCATTCCTTGCTGTGGGAAAATGCACTTCTTCACTGTCTATAACAGGGACATTTTGAGCCAGACTGAACCTGAGTCCCATCATCCTCATTAGAGACACTCTGAATCTAGCTGAGTCACAACAGTAGAATCTCATGGATCCCTGCGCAACATGGTGGACCCCAAGGACATGGCAGAATGGCAGAGCAGCAGCCCCCCACTCCCGGACATCCAGCCCAGCCTCCTTCTGCCAGGCAGCAGTCCCATTTCCCTTCCCCTCCGTCATGGCATCCCACCCTCCATCTGGCCATATCCTTTGGGCAAAGCAGCCTCTTGGCCCCGGGAGAGGTCACGGGGGCCTTGCTGACGGAGGCACTCTCCCCTCCCTGCAGGTGGGGCGGCCCAGCAACATTGGGCAGGCGCAGCCCATCATCGACCAGCTGGCGGAGGAGGCCCGGGCCTTCAACCGCATCTACGTGGCCTCCGTCCACCAGGACCTCTCGGACGACGACATCAAGAGCGTCTTCGAGGCCTTTGGGAAGATCAAGTCCTGCACGCTGGCCAGGGACCCCACGACGGGGAAGCACAAGGGCTACGGCTTCATCGGTGAGGCCGGCCTGGCGGGGTGAAGGGGAAGGATGGAGGCCTTGCTGGGTTTTCTGGGGGGCCTTGGGTGGGGAAGGGCTGCCGGCTGTTTTGTCGCTCTGTGTTGCCTTCTCCTTTTGATGGCACCCCACCCAGGGAAATGGGGGGCTGATGGGAAACATTTTGAGGGGGCGGCGGTACCCCTTCAACGGCCTCTCTTTCCACAGAGTACGAGAAGGCACAGTCCTCCCAGGACGCCGTCTCCTCCATGAACCTCTTTGACCTGGGCGGCCAGTACCTGCGGGTGGGCAAAGCGGTGACACCCCCCATGCCGCTCCTGACCCCCGCCACCCCCGGGGGCCTCCCCCCAGCCGCAGCAGTGGCCGCTGCAGCCGCCACTGCCAAGATCACTGCTCAGGTGAGGGGCAGAGGGAGGAGGGGAGGGGGTCAGGGGCAGGCCCTTTGCTCTAGGGAGACGTGCCTTAGCAAAGGGACTCCAGGAGGAAAAGACCCTGGCGGGTGGGCAGGCAGTGTCCTGGGTGGAGGGGAGTCGGAGGCTGCCACGGAGGAGCTGACGTCGTGCTCCGGCTCTTCTCTCGCAGGAAGCGGTGGCCGGTGTGACGGGTGCCGCAGTCCTGAGCACGCTGACCACTCCGGGGCTGGTGACGCCGGCCCTGACCTTGGCACAGCCCCTGGGGGCCTTGCCACAGGCTGTGATGGCCGCCCAGGCGCCAGGAGTCATCACAGGTGAGCCCACGAGCAAAGGCTGCTGGGAATGTGGGGCGGTGGCGGGGAGTGTCCTAAGCCCTCCCCTTCCAGCCCAGTCTGTGCCTCCAGCTGGGCCTTCAGTGGATCCTCATGCAGAAGCACTGGGTGATGATGCCTTTGCCCCAGGATCTGAGACACCTTCCCTTTGTGCATTTGCACCACCCCCTGTTGCAAAGAGGGAATAGGCTGCTCATCCCTTTCTTGCTTCTAGAATTCTTTACTTGCCCACCCGTTCTCCCCCAGCCTCTCGTTCAACTTTCACTCTGGAGCTTCACACAGAGGCCTTCTCATACCGAGGCTTCCTCACACTGTGAGGACTTCTCACAGACTGAGACCTTTCTCCCACTGAGCTTTACCTCAGAGTGATGGCTACTAAGCTACAGACACACCTGCTTATGTTGAACTGCAGCTTTTGCTGAGTCGTAGCATCCATTTAACCCTTTCAGTGCTTGGCTCACATTTTAAAATTAAAAATACCCAGTTAATGTTTAATATTTCTGACACGCATAACGTGAGCGCCCTCTGACATTGCCCTTCTCCTCCCCCCACATTGCGTTGGCTCCTGCTTTCTGAACTA